AAATTTGGTAGCATTTAGGGGGTTTTTTTTTTTTTTTTTTAACAAAGGAAATGTTGAAGATTTAGAGGAGCTTGAAGTCAGGAGAATTCAGAATTCCAGACAAAGCCGCAGTGGTCTGGAAGGCTCTCCAGGAACTCAGTGCTTATGTTGGAAGCTTTGTGTGGGGGAACTCATGGCATGAACATAAACAGGAAGAAAGGATTCACTATATAAAGGCACAAGACAGGAGCACTGGGGTCAAGAATAGACCACTTCGAAGACTAGGCTGGACCCTCCACTGGAAGCTTGCATACTGAAGCAGTGTGAAATGGAATTGATGGGAAATGTCTGGATTGAAAATAGTCTTTCCAGTATATTTACAAAAAGAAAACCCACTGGACATGTGAAAATATGAGATGCTAAAAGTGTCATTACAGCATAGGATCTTATGGAAATGTAAAAAATAGACTGTATACAAGACTGTATAGTTGCAGTGATCAGTTGCAGCTAGTTGTAAGATGAGGGCTATCAAGAGGGTGATCAGAGAAACAGAATATGAAGTATGTGAGTGGCAATCAATGGAGAGTTGCTGGAACTTGGAATGGGATTTGTGATGAGAGGGAAAAGATCCTGGGCTAACCTGGATGTTTCAGACCTAGAAGCTGGGACAGCATGGTTCTACTAAGAAAAATGAGCAGCCAGGCAAAGGGATCTCTCCCATTTCCATATTGGAGCTAGATATAATTACAGGAACATGGAAATAAGTATTTGAAACCCAACTTGAGACAGGATGCTGCTCAGAAGACCAAGCCAGGATATGTAGTTTGGAGAGTTATTTTCCCAATTAAATGTATTTTATTTAAAGAAAAAACAATCTTTACCATTTAAAGCTCACCTCCCAGCCATGTGGCTGCTTGTCTGCCATGTGGATGACCTCTGTGTCTCTCTCAAACAGCTGGGCTTTCTCTCCTTCTCCACCATTTCCCTTCTCTGAGCAGCTGTTGAGATTACAGCTTGCCTACCCTGGAGTTTTTCTTTAAATCTCTAATAAAACTGTCCTTAATTCTCAAAAAAAATTATTTGAAAAATTACAGATCATGGAGGATGGCAAGAAATTATATTGTGGAGGGAGTTAGGGAAAGCTTCCAAAAAATGCAATATCTGGGGTTTTGCAGGACTGCTATTTACTTTTTCATTGAGACAAGATCTCATGTAGCCCAGGCTGGTCTTAGACTCCATATGTAGCTGAAGATAACCTTGAACTTCTGCCTTTACCTCCCGAGTGCTGAGATTACAGGTGTGTGCCACCAGGATCAGTTTGTATGGTGCTGAGATTGAACTGAGGATTTTGTGCATTGTAGGCAAGCACTCTACCAGCTGAGCTATCTGTCCAGCCCAGTACTGCTATTTTTAACTTCAGCAGTCACTAAATAATCCACTGCAGTGGATAATAGTACATGACAGCAGGAATCTTGGGGATCTCAGTGTTGCCCAAGAAGAACTGAGAGACCTGACAGTTTTCACATTGTGTCCCTTTGACACAGCTTTACAAAGTGCTGTCTGCAATTTTACAATTCTCATCACTGAACTGTGCTGCCCACAATAAACATGCTGCCTTTAGGCAGTGGAAGGCCTAGAAAAGTGGAGAGAGACCACTGTCTCAGAGTGCACAAGCTTATTGACAAAATTAAGATCTTGAGACCCATTGTGGTAAAGAAATCTATTTAACCTTCTATTAATATTCCTAGTTTCTAAAATTATTTGGCTATCACACAACTATATTATGGGATCTCTGTGAATAGTTCTAAGGAACCGAATGACTCACAGAATATGTTTTTTGGAAACACAGAGAATAATGTGACTGGACTAAGTGTGACTGGCAGGGAGGTGAGCTTTAGAACAAAGAGCAAGGAAGGCCAGAGTACCAGACAAAGCATACTTAAGCTCTGGCCAGCATCCAAGAAAAAAAAGACAAGAAAAAGGAGAAATTATACACTTCTGAGCCAGGACTCAGGCAGACAGACCTAGTAAGATTTTATGGCATATCTGTAGCAACTGCACAGAAAGCAGGGATTCTGGGAAGGAAGCACTATCTCATCAAAGGGGTGATTACTCCTCCCATCTTTTTAGCATGGCTTAAGGCAAATCAGCCTGCCTAAGAGCTGCTTCCATTGCCAGAAGCTTGACTAGCTCAATTGGATTAACTATTCATTTATTTGTTTATTTTATTTCTATGAGTGTTTTGCCTGAATGTATATAAGTATACCCATGTGTGCAATGCTCTCTTCTGAGAGGCTGTTGGATCCCCTGGAACTGGAGTTATATATGTTTGTTAGCTGCCATATGGGTATTGGGACCTGAACCCAGGTCCTCTACCAGAGAAGCTAGGGCTCTTAACTGCTGAGCCATCTCTCCAGCCCCCAACTTGATTAACTCTTAAGGGAAGAAACAGTGTCGTGTCTCCACCCAGATTCCATTCTTTGACCAGAAAGAAATAGTTTTCCCTTCACTGCCCTCCAATGCTACTCAATAATTTTTTCACACCTATATATACTGTTGGTGACATTGGTTTGCAAGTTGGTTATATTTCCCCGATAAATTTTAATCTCTTTGAGGGCAACCACAGTACCTGTGTTGCATTATATTCTTGGAATGTAGCACCAAATCTGACTTATGGTATAGCTTTAATAAATATTTCCTAAGGAAGGGCGGGAAAGGAGAGACAGAAAGGGAAAAAGTACCAGGGGCTGCTCAGATGAGCCAGTAGCCCATGGTCCTCATTTCACAAGGCACACAGTAAGAACTGTGGTCATCCTCATGAAGGCTTCGACCTGAGCAGGTTCACACATTGTTAAGAGTAGCTTTTAGAAGATGGGATAATAATGTAGTTAGAAAATAAGTCCAAAATGTCATTTAATTCATCGTCTAGCGAGGGATAGGTTAAATCTTGCAACTCATTCATGTAAAATTCCAAGAATAGAATGCATAGAAACAATAAGAAAAGCTCAGATAAATCTATCATACAAGCAGAAGCCAAATGAATCTGGGTGCAGAGCATTGACCCGTTGTATCCTGCCAGGAGGCTTTAATTTGCATTTTTATAGACAAAGGTATTTATTATTCTTATTTGCAATCATGTTTTTAACAATAGCACAAAGACAATGGGAAGAATATTACCCCAATGGCTATGAAGACAGATGTCCACTGTGTCCTCTTCTGCCCATTTTCCCTGACACGTGGTAAAATGTCACTTTACCCTCCTCAGTGCTCTCTCCTTTTCGTTAGAATCTTCTAGCATTATGCCCAGGTTTGATCTGACTAGAGCTGCATTACATGAGAAATACTGGTAGAGAGAATGCCTTTTCCTCTAGGGTCTGCTCCTATTCTTGACTCCAGCCCTCTCTTTGGATGGTGCTTTAGTGCACCATGGAAGCGGGCCTCTAGAGAGTGCCACCCCCAGGTTATACAGAGTCATGACCAAGCTGAGCCCTCCCGCTCAATAGTCCAGTTGTCTTTCCCTCTCAAAGGCTCAATCATGTTTCTTGAGGAAACTATCATAGGGTTTTTATCGGGTGCTCAAAATAATTCTGGGTTCTTAGTCTTCAGTAAATAACATCTGTATATGGAAATATTTCAATGTTTTTGTAACAATTCTAAAATTACACCTTTGACCTCCTTTAAAAAGTAAGAAAAAGCTTTCCTCATACATACATAGCTTTTGCCCCACCTCGTGTTGACACCGTGCATTCAGCTACCATCTATAAATAGACATTTCCATGACCATAAGTTTTCCTTGGAGATAGAGCCTGCAATTATAGGAAGCTTTCTTCAGTTCTATACCCATCACCTGCTATCTGGTCTGCACTCTGAATCTCTTTGACATTCTGTATACAAACGTCCAGAATATTTTAGTTTGTATCTCTCTTTGAGTAGTAGAGAAAACTTAGAAAATTTTAAGTTTTCAATTCATTGAATTGTTCCTCCTCAGAAATTCTTCAGGAATAGGACAAAGGGAAGACTTGCCTCCATTTAAGAGTGCACCAGAATCATTGGTTGAGCATCTTCAAATATCTCATCCATATTGGAGAATATTACAGATACTAAAAACATTATAGAAAACAGGGGACCATAGTTAGCAAGGAGGGCTTAGTTTCCAAATATAGCATTGTTGGTATAGAAAGAGTCAGAGAATCATTTATCTAAAACTAAGTAGGATATTATAAATATGTTATCTTATCTAAACAGCTAGAAAAAAATCTTTAGTTCTTTCACCCTGTCTAATCATTCACTGCACCTTCAGAAGGATGAGAATGCACATAACACAACACGAAAAACACGAAAATCCCTCAACAGCAGAATTCGACAGTGACAACTTAGATCTTTTCTAGTATCTTGTGAATAAATACTGAGATATTTTGAGTTTGTTGGGTGAAAATAGCAAAGAAAATTTAACTGGATATTTCATTATATTTAATAGACCCAATATTGGAAAGTCTTAAATTTCCAGAGAGCACCATGCCTTTTGCTGTGTCCTGCACCATTGCACTGTTAGAGGGTGAACAAGATGGGGTAGTCGAAACCTCGTCTAGAGTGTGAAACAAATGTAAAACATGCAACCAGGGTCTACCTTCCTTGTCAAAAGCTGACCACCCTAGCAATTCTTTGGAAACAGAACCTGATAAAAAGTTGATAAAACTTAAAAGCCTGTCATTCCATAAGGATTCTAACCACTGTATCTTTAAGATTCCATTTATTTAACTCAGGTTTTGAATGAGAAGAAAACGGTTTGGGCCTCTGGAGATCTCTGTTATTCAGAACCTAAGTTAGGTGATGGAGACTGAGCATCAGACAAATGAAGCAACCTTTCTCTGTACTTACCTATTACTTTTTTGAGTTTTATTAGAGTAATAAATCCCTCCCTTCAATGCCTCCTCTTAGAGTCCTTGTTCTTATAACTGTCATTTTCTCCTTTCCAGCAATACTTTCATGCAGGAGGAAATGGCCTGAAAAAGAATTTTCTGGAGAAAAGCCCAGATCTTAGTTCTCTGAGATATGCCCTCAGTCTTTATACTCAAACTACGGACGCCTTGGTCAAGAAGTTCATAGAGACACAAGGCTCACAGAGTAAGTAATCCTCCTCCTGGGAGCAAAGCAAACTAAACACTCATCTAAAACTCATGATTAGTGTAAGTAGTAGCCACATTTTTGCTAGAGTTAAATGAAGCACCATGACAAACAGAGGACTGCACAATTTTCAGCATTCTTTAGAACTGAATGAAATAGAAAGTTGAAGGAATGAAGAATAAGAAGAAAGTCTCTTTACAATAATAAGTGTACATATCCTACGTACACTTCACCCCAGAGCTGCCGTGAGATGGGCTCTGGCTCCCCTCAGACATGGCTGGCCTGCTAGCATATTTGGTTTTAATTTCCTTATTTTGCTCATCTCTTACCTCCTCTCTCCCTTACCAAGTGTTTCATGAGATGCCTTCCCAGGTAGACCCCCTTGGCACTGTGTGCAGAGGCAGTGTTTGACCCAGGGAGACCGCTTCTTACCCTTGAATGTGTGTCTTGGTTCTACTTCTCAAACTCAAGGTTGCATGCTTAAACAGTGTATGTCCTTCTCGAGTTCAGATCTAGACTCTGTACTCCCACAGACTGCACACATAGATCTCCTTGATGGAATGTGTCATAACTGAATAACTTTCAGGTTTTTCTTGTTAACTGTGTTTTTCTTTCTCTGCATGCTACCTTAAATTGGCTTGAAACCAATAAATTTCAACTTTTCCTTTTCTTTCAAGTTTATTTTTCATCCTTTGCCCTCCTTTTTTGTCTTCATCTCTGTTAGGTCAACTATAGTGGTGTCTACAGGAAAAGGCCAGTTTCTTGTAATTAAATAGTTTCTTTTGGCTATGTTCAAGTTGGAGGATATGCATTCCTTTAAAAATATTATTCGAATTAACCCTTTCATAAATGGGCTTATCTTGCTCACTTACTGCTTTTTTATTTCCCTCATTCTAATTATTTTCTTGCCTTTTTTTCTCCTAATTTTACCCTCTTTTCCTCCTTTGTTCTTTATGTGGAACAGATTTAAATGTCATCTAGTAGTAAAAAAGGAAAAAGAGAAAGAAAATACTAGGCTTTGTCTTATCCCATCCCAATCACAAAGTTCAAAGTGATCCATTTCAGAAAAACACTTTCTTCTCCTTTTCCAAACATTGAGACCTAAGCAAATCTAAAATGGATGTAGACATGGTCCTAAGCTCTTTGGGTGATGAGTAAAGTGTTTGTTCTCCCTGCAATGCATTGAAGTACAAACACACCATCCTGTGGTACTTACTGAGCATCACCTCTACCCTAGTAAGTGCAGTGAGGAGCATCCTTCAGTAACTGAGAAGTCATGTATATAAGTTGTTCAAGAGCAGTGGTTCTCAGACAGAAGAGACTGTTTTCCGGAAACTGTAGGCAGATTCAGAAGGCTTCGGTTGTCCATCTGAGATTGGCAGTCCTATGACCACGTCTACCAGGCAGAGGCCAGGGTGCTGCTAGGTATCCTACTGAACCGCGTGCACAGTGACAGCACAGAAAACATCTGTCTCAGTACTATTTTCTCATTGCTGTGACCAGATTCCTGACAGGAAGCGACTGAATGGAAGAAGGGTTTGTTTTGCTCACAGTTTGAAGGACTGTAACCCGTTATGATGGGAAGGACCCAATGGTGAAAGCATGAGCTAGCTCACCACATTGTGTTCACAGCCAGGAGGCAGAAAGCAGACAGGAAATGGTGCTGGGCTATCTGACCTCCTGGCCCCATGCCCAGTGACCCACTTCTTCCATAGGACCCACCCCCAGGTTCCTCTCAGCTGGGAACCAAGGGTTGAAACATATGAGCCCATGGAGGACATTTTACATTCAAATCACAGTCGCAGGGTGGAGGCTGGAAACCCACTCTGACACAGCTGAAAAGGGAGAAGCAGTCCACAGTCAGTTGTGTTAGAATAGAAACCTTGCTTCAGGAGGTGGGGAAGGGAGAGAAGAGAGTGAGCTGAGGGGATGGTGCTTAAGTACACAGTCTGCCAGGCAAGTAAGCATGTGTACTCTCAATTTTGAAACCACCACATGACAAGCAGATGGACAGAAACTCTTTTGATTAAGAAAAACATTTTGTTGACTAGATGTTGTGAAAAGGACCTGGGGTTTCTCCATACCATTAAAATGCTATAAATACCGTGACAGACTTGGGGACATCAGTAGGAATCATTTTCACATTTGTACCAACTTTCATATTTCCTTTCTTCAAGAGTCAACTCAGCAGTTTGAGCTGGGCAGCTTCCTCTCAAGATGACTCTCTGTCATTGTGGGTCCACAAGGATGTGGTACTTACAGTTTTAGAAGCCGGTCCACAATGCATTTCTTGTATCTTGATTACAATATTCATCAGGGAAAAAAGTGTTTTTCTTAACAGCTATTTCATTATGCCAGGGATTCTTTGAATATTTCATGTGGCTGCAGACAGTGAAAAATGTGTAAGACTTTAACATATTAAATGGAGTTTATTCAATGGGTAACACAATTTGGAAGGTTGCACAGAATGATTCATTGCTGAGCCACCCTGAGCTGCACTCTGCTTCCTTATCTGAGTTTTTATTACAGCTCAAAGAACCAGGATCACAGAGAGATATTTTATGCCTAAGTTACAATTGTCTCATAAAGAAAAAGATTCTTTTCTAGTTAATGGCTATGTGGATTAAAACGCAAAAGCTGAAGTGTCTTTATTCCAAGAACCATCTTTTTTTAACCTTTTTAAGTAAAATCTTTGTGTTTCTGTTTATTGAAATTTCTGAAAACTTAAACCAGATTATTTCCATATTTTTGCTAATCTGTATTCTGCTGAAATCGAGTCTAATGTGTTTTGATGTGTAACAGAAAACAGCTACTGGCTCACATTCTGGATTCTATGAGTTGATTTCAACATAATCATTATATTGTACTAAAGGTGTACAGTTTGGTGGCTCATAGTTACTGCCATTGTTATAACTTAAATGAAAACCATGTTATTTCTGACAATATTCATCATCGAGTATGAAGAGTTTAAATGCCAGATGATACAACCCAGCACATTTTTATTCTTAGCAGTAAAATTAGAAGTGGCTCAAATATAGTTTTCTGGAGTCACAGTGAGTGAAACCATTCATTATTTCTAGAGAAGCCATTCAAGCGAAACCATTCATTACTTCTAGTTATGTTCCTCAAGATAGGACATATATGCCCAGAAGTGGGAAAGAAAGCATCACATGACATGGTTCGTTGTGAAAAGTAGTTTTTCATTTTCCTTACCAGAGGTATGGGGGAACTAACAATGAAAAATACTTAGTTGGCAAAAGAAATGACATTCAAATAAAGAAATTAGCTTTTAGAACCAAAGGTTAAAACCGAAACTTGATTTGTATACACAGCTGTAGGAGAAAAATTCCCAGAATATCTACAGTATGTGTTGGGGGGGCAGTGGTAATTGTTAAAATACAGCCATATCCATCTTCGCGGATTTGAAAACCTGGTCAGAAGTGGTTTCTCATTTTCAACTGATGAATCCTTCAGAAATAACCAGAGATATGGACTGCTTCCCATATAGGGTCATGCCCTGTCCCTGGGGACCCCTCAAGTAGCTCACACTAAAGAGGGTAGCATCCCTTAGAGGAACAAGCAGAAAAACTGAGGGGAACTGGTGAAGTTTGACTTTTCAAACGTTACAATCAGATGGCATTTCCATTGCAAAGCCAAATGAGGGACTTCAGTAAGGCAAAGAGCTGACAGACAGCTCTAATTGGAAGGAGGCATTGACAAGTTCTGAGCATGGAGACTCCTTTCCCTTAGTAGAAACCACAAATGTAAGGTAAGGTTATGGTGAGAATGAGCACGCATCTGTTGTCACTGAGCAAGTTGGCTACCACTGCGATGTTCCTCCCCCAAATCCTGCAAAACTATGACATGATCACACCTTCTAGATAAATATACAGAGTTGAAGAGAGATTCAGAAGTGTGGGAAAGTTCTGAGCTACACAGATGGGCAGCAGAGACAATACCTTCACTACCTCACTCCCCTGAGCAAAGAAACTTGCCAGGGGAGAACTTCAAACAGCCGCCTCCCCAGTGTTGACCATCATGGTGGGACTTCCCACAATCATCTCCCCAGTGTTGACCATCATGGTGGGACTTCCCACAATCATCTCCCCAGTGTTGACCATCATAGTAGGACTTCCCACAACCATCTCCCCAGTGTTGACCATCATGGTGGGACTTCCCACAACCATCTCCCCAGTGTTGACCATCATGGTGGGACTTCCCACAACCATCTCCCCAGTGTTGACCATCATAGTGGGACTTCCCACAACCATCTCCCCAGTGTTGTCTAATTGGTGGTACTTTCTCTTCTGCCTTACTCTGCATTTGAAACAATTTTTTAAATTACCTTTGACTTACTGGGGGTTTGGGGCATGCCATAGCATGCATGTGGAAGTCAGTTTTCTCCTTCCACCATTTGGGTCCGGGAACTAATCTCAGGTCTTTGGACTTGGCTGCAAGCCCTACTCTGCAGTTTAATATGATTCACTCTCCTTCCTGCTCAGAAGATAATCTTTAAATTGACATTTTCCTGTCAGGGACTAACCCCTTCTCCAAACTTCTAACTTTGTCCTTTGCATTCTGGCTTCCTCTTATTCTCTCTAGTTACTAGGCTCAGAAACCAGGTCACTTTTAATTCCAAATTGGAAATAGTCACACTTTGGGAATCCTAGCTGAGTGTAAGACCACACATCCTGATTTCAGGAAGCCCTTTCTAATGAAGGCTGGTTTCACCCTTCTGGCATCTACTTCTATCTGCGGCTTGCAGGTTATTGCTGGTTCATCTCCCTCCCTACTCTGCCTGTCACCCTTCTCCACCCTAGTCTTCCACCAGCACCAGTTAACAATTCCCATGTAGGGAGTCACATAGCAGTTGCTAACTGACAACTCTTCTCATGATATGAGCCCTGGGAAGACAGGGACTGTTCATTCATCTTTGATATTGCTTAACTGGTATAACAAGGAATACAAGTCAAGAAATGTTAAGGCAAATAAGTGGTATT